CATATTGCAGTGTTATTATTTTAAAAATTTCGTCAAAAAGCACAGCGATGGAAGCACAAAATTATGAACCCTCAAACACCTAAAGCACATCTGCAACATCTTTCTTCCTCAAAACACGAGACTTAGAAGCCCGCACGAGACTCTGTTCATTCTTTACGTTATATAACGAAAGCTAAACAATGCGATGAACCAGGAACAACACCTGAATAAATCATGGTGCGCGATAACGGACTCGATTCCTCCGAAAACTGCACTTTTACACTAAAAATACACCTATCCGTAGTTTGAAGACAAGGAAAGGTTGTAAAAGATAGAAGTTAAGCACATTCAGACTCCAAATTCAGGACTTCGAAATTCGAAGTGTTTTTCTTCCGGATGCGTGACTTGATTTCTCGTGCTAATGGGCGACGTTAGTTAGTGCTCAGTCTCCACGGCGGAAACGACGGACACGCGTGATTTTCCACCACACGTGCCTTGTCCAAAAGCAGTTAAAAAAACAAAACACGCAATCTTTATCTTATACAACCCGTTCGTACAAGAGATAAGTGGGAAAATGGAGCAGGGCAAGGAAAAATCACCGAAAAACTACCAAAAACTACCTACAATAACCTAGCCTGTGAACAGGCTCTCTGTTTTGGGAAAGGGTGACATAAACTTAGCAGTAAATTTTCGATTTCATGTTGCTTGGCAGTTTAAGTCACGTTTTCAGGAATACACGTGAATAATCTCGGCTTGGCATGTACTTGATATAGACACTCAACCGACGCAAATATCCGCACAGGAAGCAGTGACAAATGCGCATATTGGTTGGAGTACAAGCTTAAAAGAACATCAAGCAACGACCTACGTATTCGCTTTTAGTACAAGAGAAGACGGTCAAAGCATCGTTTCTACAATGAAGTCGAATTATCCGGCCTTCTCAGGTATGGCCGAATTCGAGCAGCATGTGCGTCCGGAAGGATGATCGGCTGGAGTACGAACACGGCCATTCACAAAACAGCCTGCCCAGATGGCATCAAAACAACTCAGCGTTTCTTCCAACGAGTTCGCCAGCTCAAAGTCTAAACAACCGCGCGACCCCGTGCCGTCTAATACACTGAGGTACAGTTTTGGGGTCGTCACGCGACACCTTAGACTTGCCAGAAGTGTCGTTTGTGAGATAGCCTGCGTGGCAGGCGTTAAAAGGGGAAAGGGAAGGGAGGATTTGGGCGCGTGGTCTCACGCCCTAATTCCCTTCCTCTTCCCTTTCGTATGCCTGCCACGCAAGCCATTTGCGAAAGCGCCGAGCAAAGGCGCGAGGGACGCTTGCCTGACCACATAACCGCCGCAGAAACATAACATGAAACGGGCAGTAAGGCAGTCTAGCGACATCTCAGGCGAACGTCCCGTTAAATATTGAGAGACGGAACTAGCGGAAAGTGACTTCACATTCTATAAAACGTCAGAGCACAGCTGAGAGCAATTATTCCAACTGCTCACTTAGGCCCGGTTCAGACGCCGCTCCACTCATGTGCCGAACCTAACCGATGAATTAAGTACGGCAAAAGAGCAGCGTCTGAATCAATTTGGTACGGCAGTTTAGTTTGGTGCGGCAAAAGCGTTAAGTTCGACAGAGTCTGTCGAACTTTTGTCGAACTTAACTTAGGTTCGACACACGGTACGCCGTCTGAATCAGATGTCGCGCCAGTGTCGCTCCAAAGTCGAACTTACTCAGTTAGGTTCGGCACATGAAAAGTACGGCGTCTGAACCAGGCCTTAATAAGCTAGGCTAAGCTACGGTAAATAGGCTTTTGTACATTATGCTTTTGCTTCCCCACTAAAATGCTCCACCTTAATGCTCCATTTTTCCCACTAAAATGCTCGGTCTCCCCAAAAAAGTCACTAAAATGCTCGGATAATGCTCATTATACATACAAACGGTTTTTTTAAATTAATTTCAAAGTTTACACTTACAAAAACGTGCAAGTGTTGCAAGTAACAACGACAACGTGTACAAATACAGCCAAAAAACCAACTGTATTAGGTTTTTGGTGAATTTTGAGTTTTAGTCTTCCTTTTCTTTAAAAAAGCAGGAGCTCATGGGGCATGGGCTCCTGAAAAAGTTAACTTCTATTTTACTTTCTCGGAAAAAATTAATTTTCCGGGGAAAATGCCACTAAAATGCTCGAATAATGCTCAATGCTTTTGCCTCACTAAAATGCTGGAACAATGCTAGCATAATGTACAAAAGCCTAGATTTGTTGCAAGACCACATCATACTTCATGGGAACAGTATGCAATTCGTTTTACAGCAAAAGAAGTTGCATTTTTGTTTTTGTTGCTCGTTTTACCCTGCCTTTAATGTTGGGAGGGACTGAAAGAAAAAATTAAATTAACATTCCCTACAAAACGTGAATTAGGCAATTTCACGTCGTAGACGTGAAGTGACGGCAAAGAAATGTATCGGAGAAGTTCAAGTGATTTTACCCTTAAAATATGAAGTTGTGGTCTATCTCTAAACTCCTTGGATTTAGACAAATGAAACTTTACTTCTTTCGCTTTTTTTTTTCTCGTACCGGCTTTTGCATTATTTCTTCTCACTTTTTCTTTTTCGTTTTTGCACTTGCACGTTCAGCCTTATATATTTTTTATCCTATTTAATAATTATTTTATATCTTGTAAAGAAATTGTATGTGATTAGTTAAAGTGTCTTGCCGATGCCAGTATTATATTGATTGAGTAAGTTATGTGTTTTAAAAGTGGTCCTTTTCATAAGCCTTATTAGCTTCCTTGGGCTCCCTTGCCTCATCGTTTTTCAAATTTCGTTTACATATTTAATTTAAATGGCAATAAAATAAATACAGTCGACTCTCTTTTAATGGACACCTCTATAAGACGGACACCTCTTTTAAAACGGACACTTAGAGTTGGTCCCTGCCTTTCTTTGCTCCCTCTATTTGACTTTCTATAAGGCGGACATCTCTCTAAGACAGACAGCTAGTGCCGGTCCCAAAGGTGTCCGTCTTGGAGAGAGTTGACTGTACAATGCTAGTTTGTGGCATTTCCGCACTGTTAAAATATGAAAATAAACAATTGCAAACTCTGGTGTTCTCCAAAACGTTTGCCGTTCGCGCTGTTTGATTACACATCACTATCTTACATGGTCTTTGCTTTGACATCTGCAGTAACTACCCTACCAAACATAGCTTTAATTTTTAAAAACTTTCCAGGACCGAACGTTTTCTTGAACATCTTCGAGACGCTGACAAACAACAAAGATGGAACGAAACCAGCATACCCAATTACCGTAGTTTACATAAAGCACTACTCACAGGCGCGGATCCACACCGGTTTCCACCGTTTTACGAAAATCGGTCACAGTTTTCATAAAGAACTAAATTTTTCATGAAAAAAACTTTTTAAGTTAAAATCTGGCCAATATCCTGACTGAATGACTCAGAAAACCAGGAAAGGTGACTTTAGGGAGTAGAAATCTAAAAAATTTCACGGGGGCGCATGCCCCCGGACCCCCTAGAAGCTTATTCCTTTGGCTCTCGTTTAGGAAAACGGTCAATATTTATCCTAGATCCGCGCCTGAGTCTCAACTTCACCTCCCGTTGGTCAGGGGCACCTAACGGGAATATAGTTCAAAACCACTTAAACATAGCATTGTTAAACTACCGTAAAATTCCGCAAAACGGTAAATTTACTTCCAACTATAAGGGTAGCTCAATCGATTTTGAAACGCAAATTTCCCTCCGTAGATAAGCCCCTCCGAATATAAGCCCCTCCAAAAATAAGCCAAAAATAAGCCCCTCAAAAAGGACCGGGGCTTATTTTCGGAATTTTACGGTATTTCAGTAGTCAAACGGTAGATATAGGCATATTTTTATCCCCTAAAAAATGATTTCCTAGCTGAAAGTCTAGTGATCGGAGAATTCTAGGGATCAAAACTTACCTTTTCGAAAATTTCAGCCAGGAAAAAGGCTCCCGAAAATTCTAGGCAACCTTTTAAGGGTAAAAATCCGTTAAAAATTGGCAATTATACCATTTTTTAGATGTTCGAAAATCCTTGGAGAGGCAGGCAAGCAAGAAATTTTACAACAAATATTCCGAAAATTCTAGATCTCAAATCGTCTTCCGAACAGATATTTCCCGAAAATTGACGTTGGGTGCCCCTGGTTGGTCTGTCATGACTGTCATAACCACTTCGCAGGTTCAGTAAGTGACGTTTCATACCGCCATTTCAATGTTAAACGCTTTTTAATGCGTTTTTACATACACTTCATAATTAATCTACATAAGGAGGTACCCACTAAGCTCGTAGCCTGCGTAGCAAGCGTTTCCAATTGAGTTATTGCCCGTCAATCCTTTTTTTGCTCTCTTCCCAACTTTCTCGACGAACTCGCGCGGAAACGCTTGCTACGCAGGTTAAGCTCGTGGATGCATGGCAAAGTGTGAAATACCTCGTTTCGACGAAAACATTTCAACAATTTTTCCGTTTCCTGGTGTTGAATTTTGACTGATTCATCGTTTAAAAATATTAAAAAAGAAACCAATGCCGCCAAAACTATCCCAAAACTTAGCTCAATGTTTCATCAACTGGCGGATATCAGAGATCTTTTTAGTACAATCGAGGATGTAGACGATTAGCTACGATTACAATGACGAGATTTGAATTAAAAGGTTTTTCGTGTATTCTCCAAAATTATACACCCTGGAAAACTTCATTTTATTATATTTTGTTTTGTTTTTTTTGCTTGTTTGTTTGTTCTTGAACAAGAAAAAAATAACACTGTTATTTTTATTGAAAGTTAAGCCCTCTCCCGATCGCAAAATCATAAAACTTCTATTCGATCAGTTCAGATAACTTGTTTCCGCCACTGCAACCTCTCTTGCTCCCATGATACGGTTCCACATCATACACTAGAGTTGCCAGACACCTTCGTACCTTGACAAAAAATACTACCGTGTTGAGTAAGCGGTGATAATGATGTCTGTGTCTCTAAAAACGTCTTCAATAATCCCTTTCACTATAGGCCAATCAAGCTTGTCCTCTCCTGTCCCCAGACGGGGAACTGTTAACTTGTCAACACCGTTTTCTTGACTATGTTCCTTTAAACGCAGCAGACAGGATCGCATCGAGGAAGGCGTGGCGGCATCCCACCAATTCTGCCTTGTCACCTAAACGAAAAAAAAAACCTTCCCGCTTTATAAACAATGATCACGTTGAGTTTTTCCGAGGATTTCTTGTAAAGGTCTTTCGTATAAACAATACACGTGTCATGGTGTGTGATGTTTCTCCCATGTAAAACGTACACTGTAATCCAAGACAGTCTTGGATTCTGGATTCCGCGGTGTGGAAGCCTGCGTAGCAAGCGTTTCCGTGCAGTTTAGGAGCACAGAACGAGGAACCAGAGTCAAAGACTACGCGAAAAATGGCGCAAGTATACCGAAAATCCCGTTCCTCGGTCTTTCTTTTCTTCGAAACCAAACGGAAACGCTTACTACACAGGCTAACAGTGTGGTTTCCGAATTCCCAGCAATGGATTATAGATTCCTTGTAGATTCCAATCGTCAGCGTGATTCCAGATTGCCGTAAGCTAAATTCTGTATTCCAAAGCCCAGGATTTCGGATTCCACCAGCAAACATTTTTCAACGATTCCGGATTTTCAAGCAAACATTTCCAGATGCCTGAGTCTGGATTACCTTACATGAGGCGAAAAGTTTTAAATGAAACTGACCAAGATGATGGTTTAGTCTTCTTGGAATAGACCCTTTCACGGTTTTTTCAACTTTTTATACGGACCAGTTAGGGAAAATCCACCGAAAAGAGCGCCTTCAAACTAGTAAAATTGCTAAATTTGAAAGTGATAATTTGTTGCCCCCCACCATACAAACGTCTGTAAAATTTCGCGACATTGAGGAGCTGCATATTCATTAGTTTTAAACAAATTATCACTTTCAAACTTGGCAATTTTACTAATTTTATAGCCTGCGTAGCAAACGTTTCCGCGCGAGTTCATCGAGAAAAGTTGGGACGAGAGCAGAAAAAAAGGAAGGACAGGGGAGGGGGAGGGTTCCTCTTCTCCCTTCCCCCTCCCTCCTTTTTGTTTTCTGCTCCCGCTCTAACTTTCGCGCCATAACTCGATTGGAAACGCTTGCTAAGCAGGCTGCTAATTTTAAGGCAGTCTTTTCAGTGGTGTCCATGGAATTTGCTGAACTTTTCCATGTCAAAAGTTGAAAAAGAAAAACCAGTCAAAAGGTCTATTTAGTGTCGTATAACTTATAGACCATAGTTTTGGACTTACCAAGTGATACACAAAGCTTGTTTCATTCCTTTCAGAAATGGCAACCTCGCCAACTTTCCTTTCTAAAAGAATGGCAAAGAAAGAGTTACATTAAAAATAAGTTTGACTCAAGGCATCACCTTAAATCAAGCTATCAAATCATATATTAGCGGAGACTAGGTTATGAAAGGCAGCAAAATCAAAAACCGTGGTGCAGTCTATGTTGGAAGCTCTCTGACGGTGTACAATACTTCGTTTTCTGTTGGCAAATCGTGACAGTGCCACATTTTTATCGGTCAATAAGATCAAAATAGTAGGAATGCTAATGAACATTGTGCACCATCTGGTGTACTAAAACATATAAAAAAGGACATGAAAGGAGTCTGACAGGTTTCATGACTAAAAGTATGTGAAATTTCAGATGTCAAAAATTTAAAGAATGGTTGGGCACATGCCTTACTTCATGAACTGTTGACTTATTGCATTCCAAGAAACATTCATTGTGTTAGCAGAAAAAATCTACTCCCACCCCATAAAACAGTCGCCAGAAATTCTGGTGGAAGGTCTTAAAAGGAAAATATGAACCAAACTAGAATTTCCCGGGGAGAGGGGTTTCAAACCAACAATCCCTCTGTGAGCTGATGTCTGAATATGTTTTGGACCAACTCAATAATAATCGACAAGGAGTACATAAATAATGTTCAAGGACCATCAGAAATTCTTGGAAGAGGAGCAGTGAGGTCCCAGCGGAGGTTATATTCCAGCTTTCAAGTGTTGGGGATGATCAAATAGGGGTAAAAATCAAACCCCAAAAACATCCCTAGGGCTTCCAACAAAACCCCAAAAAATCCCATTCTGAATTTCCAAGCCTTACAATTTTCAAGAAAGCATTAAATTATATAACACGAAAAGTAAATTAGAAATTAAATGTTTGTGTTTTGCAGCCACGATATGTAGACGCCACCATGAAATCAAGCCACCCAAAAAAAGAATTGCCAAATTTTCGTAACCTAAAAAAAATCCCACAATTGAAAATGTCAAACCCAAAAACGTCCTTCGCCCACCCCCACAATGTTCAATGACATCTACTTAAATGGTTACAGCTGTTAAGGAAAGGCGAGACAAATACAAAGTTGCAAGCATACTTCAGGGTATGTCTTTCCATAATAATAACATTATTCTCTCAATCTCCCTCACTGGCTCTCCTCTCTCCTCGACGTATACTTTTTCTGCTCAGATGGGTGTCCATCAACAGAGACAGATCAACTGTATTTCAATCACCTTTTTAACTAGAAACATTTTCTTGATGAATTGACAAGTCTTCTTTCAGATTTTGAAAAATAATTTAATGGTCACTAAATCTTTATCAGAAAAAACAATGCAATTTAAATTAAGTTATGTTGCATAAAAAGTTAACATTTTAATGAGGCAATGAATAAATGTAAAGAAAAAGAAAATTCTTTGAACCTTGTTTCTTCAGCGCTTCAAATCCACCACAGAGCTTTTTAAAAGCTGGTGTGATACCTCCACTCATCCGTAGGTCTGCAGAAACACAGTGAGCCAGTGAAGAGTCTTGAGCAGTGGCCATCACTACTTTTGTCCAACCCTGTGCCTCAACTAACTGAAACTGCCCGTTCTCCTATACATCAAACAAATAATACAGTTATCTTGAATGCCAGTATACGTAGTACTCTACAGTTAAAGTGATGAGCAAAATCAAAGGAATTTTGGGGGTTTGAAATTTTCATTCTTGACTGGTAGCTTTTTGGAGAGGTAAATTTGGCAAAGATTTTTTGGGTGCCTAATTGTTTAAAGTCTGGATCTTCTTAGGTATTCAAAACAATCTGGAGATAAGTGTGGTACCGCACACATATGCCAGCTACGTAGTTCCAAGACGACCAGATGAGGAAAAGATAAATTTTATAGATTTTGTATAGTATGATGCATATTAAACAACCACAAACATTTAATTTCTACTTTTTTTAAAGTTATACCCCTTATCGAAATTTTTTGAAGGTTGGGATTTTTGGGGGGCTAATTTCATTTTGGAAAGCTCTAGGAGATTTCTTTTGTGTTTTCATTTTTGCCCTCTTTTGATCATTACTGTCACTGTGTGGTCATTTGTCTTTTGTCTGTCCTTTGTAATCAATATAATATAACTACTATGTTAACCAATCAGAGCTCTTGACCAGATAATCCAGTCAGATGAACATTTTATGTCATCTGTATGAAATCTCTGTAGCTGAGACACAGACATCCCTTCTGGCAAAACATTCCTAAAGGCAAAGAGCAAGGAGAGATGGCTATTTTCGCAGGCTACTGGTATTTGGTAAAAAACAAAACTCCACCAAACTCTTACATTTAGACCTTGGTAGTCAAAAACATTACAAAACAAAAAACAGCTAGCAGTCCTAGAAAAAAACTGTTGTAATTTCTCCACTTTGGTCAAGTGGCTGCATGTTGATCAGTTTGAATCAAATTAACTTTACCCCTTGTGATGTGATAGAATATTTTTAAGACAACAATATAATTCTGTTCTAGGAAATAACATAAACCTAAGAAATAATGCAGTGTATAATTACCTTCTTTGTTATCACTTCTGATTCTGTCCCTAGAAAACATCGACGTGCAATCTGTAATCCTTTGTATCTTGTCGTAAACAGAACTTTGAGAAAAAAAATAACTTATTTATCAAATAATAATCATCCATGATAAACTTTTGCAGGTTTTGCAGCACTCTTCATCAGAAAAACTCCATTCACCATCCCTATATCATAGATGAAACTGTCTCCTATCCCTTCTTAAATTTATCCTTGATATTTTCAACCATCAGAAGTCATCGAACTTGGCATTTCAGACATCAATAAAATATATTCCCTTAAAAAAAAAGAACCTCCCTCTGAGTATTGACCCCTCAGATATAGAATGGAATGGCCCCAGACACCCCTTGATTTATAAACAAAGATGCTAGAACGCTACAAAACAGTGTCTTGTTTAGCTCTGGTTCTTTAAATACAGGCCTAAAGGGAGCCGGGTTCACGGGTGCACTCTCAGCTCCACACAGACCCCAGAGGTACAGGTCTAGTTTTTTTCATGATCAACCATTTAAAACAAAATGAATGAATAGTATTGTTCTATCCTGACTAATTCACTGATTGTGTTTAAAACATGATTGAAAATACTGTGATAGACGGTTGACAAGCCTAACTCATGCATTCCACAAAACGTGCTTTAGCCAAAGGGGATTTGGTTAATGCCTACAAGGCATTTACCCCTTGAAGGATTCGTAGCGTGGATTGAGTAAATTTTTTCTTGTCGCCTTTCTATTACTGGGAGGCCAAGTGGTCTTTTACTGCACATTGATTTCAATGGCTGTTATGCACATCTGCTATGCAGTGGTCATTGAGCTGGAAGAAGTCACTGATCTGTTTCCTAAGAAGCCCCCAAAGAGGCTTGAGCTTGGCACACCACTAGAAGATCATTATGATCAGCACCACTAATGAATAATACGGATTCACAATTCTCTCTTTATACATTTTTACTTTTTAAGAGAGAATAGTGACATTACACTGATATTAGCTGGGTCACACTACAGACGTTTTACCTAGGTAAACTCGACTTGTTGACAGTTTACTAAGGGAAACTTGCTTTTAAATTAAGTGTGACCGATTTTTCCCTAGGTAACTTACCTCGGGAAAATTTTATCGCCTTGGGCTTGGATATGTCTCAAGAACAATAGAGTTTCCCTTGACAGCTATCCTAAAGCGATAGCTAGGGAAAAATGAAATACCGAGGTTGCTTGCCAATAGACGCTCATCGGCGAAGGTCTTGATGACGGAACCGGATATAGGTCACGTTGTGAAAGAAATTTTGGGGGCACGAGTTGTCTACATCTTCACCTTGCACGTTGAATAAGAGTAAGAAATAACATCGAGATAAAAAGAAAAACATCTCTTTAATCAGCTAGATCCCTGAGCATCTTGCCCTCTTGAATTTACACGCCAAAGAATTCAACTGTGAGTGAAAACCTTGAGAGCCGATGTCAGTAGTGTCACCTTCTCAGAATTTTTTACCTAGGTAAAACAAAACCCGAATTCAAAGTCCGAAGTGTGACCACAGCTATTGTCATTGTCGAAATAAATCAGTCTCTTTGCCAAAAAAAATTGGAAGTTCAAAAATTGGAGAAATTCAATGTTTCTCAAAACGCTTGTAATGCAGTCTTGGGTAACCTAATTTTCCCTCTAGTGACTTGTGCCTCCAGCCTCGTTTGGTCCGTCTCCATGTTGGATTGCACCCACCCACAAAAAAACCTGGCTATGGCCCTGAAATGTTTAACGTAAATCAAAGCAACTTCAGAATACCCAGCCAGAAATTTTCAGGTAAATTGTACTACTACCGCGGTCCACAGTCCGCAGTCAGTAAAAAGGAAATTGGTGTGTAAATGTAGTGCCGCCGCTGTCCATAGTCCCGCAGTCAGTGAATGTGAAATTGACTAAGTGTGTAAATGTACTGCTGTGAATTTAGACAAGAGTTAAAACCAACTGCTTTAAGATGGCTTAGTTGGCATTTGTGGATTAAAGAACGCGATATATTAAGACATGAACAGTGAGCCTTTTTCTCTTTATGTGGATTAAAGAACGAGTTAATTAAATGTACAGAGTGCTTGCTTCGCTTCATTGCACTGCAGACCGAGGACCGCGTTAGCAGGAATACTTTGTTGGGGAATATTTCAGTGGCCAGTTATGCTGACGTTTAGCCAAAGTAATATTAAAAAATCATATACATAAGGTTACCTCGATATTTAGATCATAACAAAAACTTACTAAGTGCTCTTCTTTGCAACATGATTCTACCTGACGGTGAAAATTTCACTCTAGCCAATTTCGCCCAGGCGGAAATTCTACCTCGTTCCCAGGTCACCTGAGGCCGACGGGGCTTGGATCCAACTTCGTTTCCAGTCCAAGTGAGTCGTCAAGAGCGCGACTCGAAGTACGAAGTCGAAGTAATCAATGGGAAATCTAACTGCCTGTTTCTCTCCCCCTCTAAGTTTTTCACCTAAAAAAAGTTTTAACCGCCAGCCAACTTTTTGCAGAGCGCCCAATGTGTTTTGCTTATCGATTCAGGACGCGTTAATTGAAAACCAAAAGTAGCCTCCCCTTAATTTAGCCTGTGTGCCTTTAGCCTCGGGAAACAGGCGACATTTTGCGGCACTACCACTGGTTTCCTTCCCTGCTAGTAGAGCCTCTTTTTTCTGGTATTCGGCAGGTGGGGGGGTCTCCTTTCCTCCCGCCCGGTCGCCACACTATTACATTATTATCGTCTCTGAATATAAACAGATTAATATCGACTCCACGCAGGATTAACCTATTAACAATTGATATTAAAGTCTTGCTCTCCATCGTCCGAGAAGAGGGGAAGATGTAAAGTCTACTTTACTAGCACACGGTCTATCTCGGACTAGTCCATTTTTGTGCAAATTCTCGAAAAAATGGCTTGTATTGACCACCATTACAGAGATGCCAACTTTAGAGATTTAAAATCTGGAGACTCTCTGTTTTTCACTAGCCCCCTACCCCGGAAATTCGCGATCATCGTTTTGATGCCGGAAATAATCTTTGTCAGTGACTAAATAGGTGTAAAATGCCTCAGAAACCGTACTACAGTTACGAATAAGAAAAATTGAAGTTTTGAGCTAAAAATGGGCTAAATTTCAAACTAAGGCTCAGAAAAGCTCAAAAGATGATTTTATCCGGGAGATAAAGCGACCCGTACGGGAGACCGGGAGATTGGTGTCGTATCCGGGAGACTCCCGGATAATCCGGGAGGGTTGGCATGTATGCCATTATGGCCGCCTTGTCACGTGCTTGCAAACAAAGAATACCAAACAAATCCTGATCGGGTTCAAAAAATTGTTCAAAACGTCATTCAGGAGGCTCCTCTTCCACGTTACCAGGGCCTCTCTTTCGTTCCCGGGAACAAAGAAGAGAAACCCTGGTAAGGAGGCTTAAGAGTTCATGCTGGTAGAAGAAATGAATCCAGTGATGCAAAACTCATTCAAAAGGGCGTTAGTCCATGCTAAATTGTCTGTAGTACCAGTGTTTTTTTGGACTGTGCAGCATGTACAGTCACCCATCTCATCAAGTATAAGCAAAGGACAAAAAGTTTCGTGTACGTATTCTAAACTGGAGGAAGGGTTTATTTCATCATATTTTCTTTCAGTATTTTTTTTTACGTTACTCAGACGCATCCGTATTAGGAGATTTTAGCTTCTCCTGGCAGCGAACAAGCTGTATTTGGCTTTTCAAAGCAGATTTGTATTTAGATGCTATTCCTCCGGTCCAAAGGTTGGTTTGATTGCGTGCCAGTTGCGTTAGTCTACAGTAGTGATATTGAGCCCAGTCCCGAGGTCCCAGGAGCCGATTAATCAGCTCCTGAGTCTCTACAATATTAAAGACGAATCATGATCTTGACCTCTGTGTTTGAGTAGGAATTATCCGTATAATGCGCTTAAAACATTCATGTCTCAAGAACTTTCTATCTGCCTTTTTAAAAGGAAATACTACGTTTCCAATTTTTCTTCTTTTTTCTTAAAATGCCAGGCAGCCTTAATACTGTTTTAAGAGGAAGCAATATACGACG